GGCCCACTTTTATTTTTCCGCGCATGTGTTTATTGGTATACGTGTAGCATAGGATAAGTAGACGGAATGTAGCAGACTTTCGTGTCCGTTTCCGACAAACCGAAAATGTCGGTTGTTCTGTGACTTCCCCTCATCGATCACTTCACTTTTGAAGCCCTTCGAGGTTTGTCAGCCCTCACTCAGCCTTAGACCATATTCATATTTGCAGTAGTTACTACTTGTGAGCGCATTATGTATGTTTGACACTTGTATGTCCGTCTCCGCCGCGGTGCATTAGGCTTACCGTGTTGAAAATGGCACACCATGTAGAAAAAACGGTCTGTTTACCCTTCAAGCTACACCAGAAGTTGAAGGGACCTTGAGCGGTGGCAGGCTGTACTTTAAGCGGTATGAACCGCCCTCATTTGCAATTTCACCTAGTAAGACGGTTTCCTTCCTTTCATCATCCATTTTTGAATGTGACTCTTCTCTCTTTCGGACCAACTGTTATCGTGATGCCTTGAGCCACTTGCCCTATATATGGGGACTTGTCAATGAAGGGGTCATGACTTTCATAGCAATAAATCGCTAAAAAGGCCTCAGGAGGTGAAAGCATTGAGAACGGCCAAAACTTTGCCATCCTCCTCCAACCCGACTATTTAATTGGTCAGTTTAGACATCTAGACTCCCGTTTATCTCAGCATATTTAGCCTTGTATACCGAAGAATCGAAAAACGTTTAATTAGCTTGGCCACAGCCTCTACAGGTACAGCCACATCCTCAACGTTGTTAAAGAGCAATCTACGTGAACTGTCTAGAGGTCGCTAATTCCGATACTTTTTTTGTAGGGAGCTGTACACATCTTTTCTGTCACCTTGCCACGATTCCTGTATGGGTCGGCCGCAGGACATCGACTTTGCCGTTCCACCCGAGTACCTCATCCGGCACTTTGTAGCCGATCGTCTGCCCGACCCGCCTCTGGATCAACTGTCGGAAGAGATTCTTTTCTGGCTTTTCTACAACTGCTGTCGTGAAGAGGTGCAACTCGTCGCTGCCAAAGAGTTGTAAGTCATTGTTTGATGTTTATTTCGAGGGTCACCCTCTACAGCTTCCTGCGCGCACCATGTAAACTTTCAGTTTTAAACTGCTCTGTTGGTTCATTCACCATACTCAAAACCGTATTCCGAGGTAGTATATAAACTCATATCGTCTATCCATCTTGGTAATCTGGGAATCATTCTAGCGGGGAATCTCGACGTTGTCTCTATCAGGAATCAGCTTACGAGTTCCCTTGTTTATTGAAACCATCCTTGAGTAGGGTCCGTTTACAAAAGTGTAGCGAGTTACTGATGTGTGAGGACACCAGTAAATGTATGTAAACACAAAGTGTGAACGTTCTAATAAATCTTTTGGGTAATCCTTCTAAGTAATTTAGTAGTTGAATTAATGATGAATTAGGATCGCTTATGGGGGTTCCTTTGAGCAAACAAGATTACCCTCACGACCCTCCTAAAGCATAACCTCGCCACTGGGGTACTTGGTGCCCTTCATGCAAAGCGGTGAGATTTGATTGCCTATCTCTTCTAACCGCTCGGAAACAATATCAGAAAAAACTCTTTTAGTTTTCAGCGACAGATTTTCCTAACCAAGGGCCTTGTTTCATTGAAAGGGCTGGATTATTGGTTGATTTTCGGCAACTGAAGGCGGAACACCTTAAGAAAGGCCGCATTACAGGAACAGCTGCCGTACTGTGTTGCCAGGCATATCCGGAGATGACAGACTGACCAGCTCCTCAGAGTGCTGTTCCTAACGAGGCAGTAGCCCCCTTCGTGACGTCATGGGAGTGCCTTTTGCCATTCTGACTAACCGCTACGTTAGCATTCAGCGAGTGTCAAGAAATATAAAACAATTTCTTGTGTCCTGTACGACAAAGAAATTCCTGTTCTGCGGCTATTTATGGTTGCTCCACACAGACTTAAGGTTCCACTTTTCTGACCATTCTGTCTAACCGTGCCTCAGTCGCCAGTTATAGAGCGCAAAGGGTATTCGAAGTCTCTGTTAGGTTGGTGCTGAATATAACCCATTCCACATGTATTTGTCGCACTTAATAATACTAAATTTCCACTTAGGCAGGACGGTTTAAGACGCCTTGACGAAGTCGGTTGTTTATTCTACTGCGCAGAGGCTGGTGGAGGTTGGATCTCTAAGACAGAGTAGTCTTCTAAATGTCTTGGGATGGTGTTTTAATCACGTTCTTATGATCTTGGCTATACTTATATCCCGTCTCGACTCAACACATTGAACGCAGCCTAAAATCCCATTGGTTGCTCACAAGAATGTATAAATATATGCTGGAGTTATCTGGCCAGGTCAGGCCCGCCGATTTTATTGCCTACCAAAATATGGTGTTAGCTCAAGTTGGTTGGAAAAACCCAGGGTACGCCATCATTGTCACACCAGCTACCGATGGCAACCTTTCCATTGACGTGCCAGGCGGTTGAGGTACCGTTGCCGTGATGCGTACCAGACTGAAGTGCGACACATTTTACTTGGGCGTGTGTGTGTGAAGCGTCAGACAGAGGCTTCATGATACTGCACTCATACCCTCCTGTATGACGTGTGCTTCTGGAACGTGGTAGGTGGGGGAAACATACGGTGACGTAAGCGCAGGCAAGTTTGCTTCACTATAAAACGATTCATGCATAGATCACTGCTGGACACTCAAAACAATAATAGTTCTGGTCGCTTGCCACGTTTAAACCGGACAAGATACTGCCCCCTCGTTCTTTTTTCTGCATGAAGTAAGAACACTGGTTCACGACTATCCGGTTGAACTTGTTTGCACTTGCGTCGCTTCCATCCTCAAATGATTGCAGCACGCTGGCAGACCCTCGGACACTGTATCTTCAACTTATGTCAAATTATCCTATTAATCCCTAAATTAGCATCAATCTTGTACAGGGGAACATGGGCTAACGAGTTTAATCCGTTTCAGTACCGAGATCGTCACGTGAAACAGTTGTCTTGCGAAACGTACTCTATCAAACTGTATCAGCTCACTGACTGGCTGCAGGTGACCGAGGATCCACGCCCTGGGAGCAAGACTCAACGGCGGACACGGGCACACACACACGCACTGACCGCTTGTTAACTGAGTGAAAGTCCTTCAAGCGAAATAAATTTGCTGCGAGTGGTTCATTCGTTAACTGAAATGCTAGTAGATGCGACTGATCGTCATTCGAGGCTCCACTGTACATGTAACAGCGGGAGGAGGGTTCAAAATACAGCGAACCTACATTTTGGCGAGTGCTTACGTTCGTCAGAAACATCTCGGAAAGCATCAACTGTATTCTCA